AGGTAGGTGTGGCGTGCGGTTGGTGTGGGACGCCAATCTGGCGAATCGTCGGCTGGTGGATGGTCCACACATGACCGGTCATGCTCACTTCGCGCAACCATCTCGTAGCGAGTTGAGCGTCGGCGACCGAGGTAGGAAGGTTGGCTGTCATATTCGGGAGGACCACGACCGAAAGCATAACTCATGGCTTTTGTGGAGTAGGGAGAGGAAAGAGGTAAGTTTAAACTTCATTATCGGTTGCATAAATTCTAAGCGACTGCAGCGGGATAGGACATAAGATGTCTCAACGGAATCCATAAAAAAGAGAGAGATCTCATTCAAATTGGAATGGCTCGGAATTTCGCATCATCTCAATTGTGCATACATAAAACAGATGTAATTCGAAATTTCTCAGGAGTGATACGGTACATAGTTAGGGTTGTTGTTTCGTTTGTTGGACTCATTTGAGGTGCAGAAGGCGGAAGTTTATTTCAAATTGGTCCTTAAGGGCAAACAGACATAGTGTGGGCGAAATCTGACGTTTCTCGACAGCCAAGTACTTTCTCACATGACTGGGATCTACAGGACGAAACACCTTGTTTTATGCGCATACGACTGTAGACTAACATTAATATAAGTGGGAAAAATTTAACAAAATCATATTATTCCGAAAAAAGGGCGAATTCAGTTTTAGAAGTTCCATTTTTTAATAACTTGAGTTTTGTGCCTTAAGACCCAGTAACAAACTTGTTTGACTGTCATTTTTTACCACACCGATAAGTGAACCGTAAACGTGCAAGTAGCTCTATGCCTATTGTATAGAGAGCACACGAAAGGTGCAACAGATCCGAAACCGACAGCTGTTACGCGGTAATTGCCGGTCTTCAGCACGCTAAAAACCCGATAAAGTGATTTTTACATTGAATTTAAACAAGCACGTCGCCCTTACTGATATGGTGAAGATCTTGAGGGTGAAACGCTTACTGGACTTCTAGACTAGTCGTCAAAGGTCAAGCAACATGTCGGCATATGCGAAAGATTGATACGCTTTCGCTAAACGGCATTGACGCAAGTCGTGATATTGATTATCGTGTAGTCTATTCTGAAGTCATTTCAGTTATGATAAGATGCGGGCTTT